ATTTTTTCAGAAGAAGTCGAAAATGTGAAAAGTTTACAGACAGACGGACAGGACATCCCGGACAAAATGTGATTTTGAGAATAAAATGGCAAGCTCACTTGAGCATTCAGCTAAAAGAGGTGAATCGCTAAAAAAAAATCATTTATTGTCTCATGTGTCTGGCATGTTTGATTTCAGTTTGGGCGTTTGGTTAGAATTTTATATTTGTACTTAATTAATATGTTTGCCAGCTTGGCAAGACTTTATGTAAGTTTGGCTAGATTTTATGTAAAATAATGTTGTATATCAGCTTTATTGTAAATTTATATATAATACAATGCTTATTCTCAAGTATGTTACAAGCTGAATAGAATTTCAAACAATACAATTGTATGCATTTTGACTTTTGAATTTTTGTTATTCTCAAAATCTAATATGTAGACCGCTTGGTGTTCATTTAATATTAGTTGATTTCCATGCGAGGCTATGTGAACTTTTTTATAATCAAGTACGGTCAATCAAAAGACAAAATTTTTGTTTATTAAAAAGAAAAGCTTCAAAATCTAATGTTCAAGAATCTATGCATAATTTACAATCAATTGAATTTTTAGTTATTTGTCAAAAGGCTAAGTGACTATAAGACCGACAGCTGGAATGGTGATTCAAAGAAATTGACACAGAAAGTAGAGTCAATAGATACTGGAAAATCCATGTGAGTCAATGAAAAGAAATGATCGCATTTTTTATAATCAGATGGCTCAATCAAAAAAGAGACAAAGCCTTTTGTTAATAGTCAAGAACACAAAAGCTTCAAAATCTAATGTTCAACTAAATAGAGGATGTGAAATAATTTAAAATATATCAATTATATAAAAAGGAAATTGATTAGTTCAACAAGAGCAAATGCAATTTGAAGGTATTGTTATTTTTTTAAGAAGAGAAATTTCATCTTTACAAAAGGCCTAAAGATGATATAAGACACATATAAATCAAGACAGCATTGGAAATGGATCCTATTACAAATGTGTCACTTCCGATGACACAGGACAAACTTACAAATACACAATCAACACACACAATACACAAGAGCGTAACTACATCCCCATCTACTCCCATGCCACTGATGAGATGATAAAATAGATGCCCATCGTTAAAATGAGTTCAGCAGATATAAGGTTCAAGCCATGAGGTTTTTTTAAGCGCTAAGCGCAGCGCTAAGCGCTTTCCGTCAGCGTAAATCGACTTCCGTTCGCGATCCAGCGCCACTATAAGCAAGTTAGATAACTCCTCTTGTTATTCTAAAAATATGCAACTGGAAATCCCTGACTCTCTTCCTGCTATTTTAGTGTACTACTGCGTTACGTGTATTTCTAAGAATAGGAAGCAATTAGTAAGGTAAAGGGATATTCCACATTTAGCGGATAAAAGCAGTTCTTATCATGCTCTTCTCTATACATGTAGTTCATTTAAATCATGTCGACACATATTACTTTTGTATCATGTAGCTAATAATTGCTGAATCTATTGCGCAAATACTTAATAAAAGCAGTATACCATTTATCATTTATATGTAAATATAGTGATTGAATAAATACATAATTTAAACTCAGATCGGATTTTAATAATTAAGTTTTATACAGCTGTAAATCTCAAAATGGAAGTGAGTTACTAGTATTCAGTATTAAAAAAAAATAAAATTGATTAACAATTTACTACTTACATAATACTAGTATGGTGTGTTCTTTATAACATATCCATATAAACTATTATTTTTTTCATCTAGACCCTTACTTCAGGCAATGTAATTAAAACAAGCCTTCCTTTTAACACCTTGCACCATGCTGAGAGCTATCAGTGAAGTTGATTTTCGCATCTAAGTATCAATTAGTAACAGACTGCGCAATGGATTCATGGACTGTCTTTTTAAGGTCTTGTACTCTATACTTGAATGATATGAGTAAAACATTATGTAAATAATTCGAAAGGAAAGGCAGTTTCTGTGGCTGTACAGGCATGTAGGGCATGTGGTGATTGTGTTTTCGACGAATCCATTCAGATAGTAAAACTTGTTTTCTCGGAATATTGTGCTTTAAAATTGTATGTGTAGTTTGCAGGTTATGGCGAAAAATGCTAAAACCTTAATTTACGTTCTTGGCAATGGACAGATTTTTAAATGTAATGTTAAGCAATATAGTTTAATACTTGAAGTAAAACTATAAGGAAGAAATAGTTTATGTAAAAATGTGCCTCAGCTGTGTTGCCAATTCTTAATGTAGACTAAATAAAAACAGAATAAAATAATGTTGTATACAGCTCAACAAACTTTTTAAGCTCACATGGTTTTTCGCACAAATTAAGGTCACATTGTTATGATATAATAATGTGTATCGTGACAACAAAATACATTTTAAAAATATTTGTTTACATAATATGAGTTTTATTTCATTTCTGAAACATAATACACACAAATCAATTGGTAGAACTTTGATATATTCATGGCTAAAAAATAACAACTATTATCATTTGAATTTTTGTAGTTTCTTGCCAATTGCAGCTGTCCTTTTATCCTCTCTTTTGAAAACAATAGCTTTTGGCAGAAACGTAGACATGGGTACAGTACAGTTACTGTAACTTGTATTTTCTGTATATATCGACTCTTTAACTCGGGTTGGTAACAGTATTTTTGATATGTTTAACTGCTTTCTATGTTACTAAGGTGGGATTTTAAAGAGTCAACTTCTAAAATCTAGAATCATGAAAGATTCATCCCACTGCAAAATTTGAACGTTTCAAACCGTAAATGCATAAAAATTTTCCTATTCAAAGAAGGAATTTATTATTTAAAAAAAATAAACAAAACTTCATTATCCTACCCTTTAATGTGGTCTCCTTTTGCAATATTATCCCTTTTCGGTGCTACATTTCGATGAAAACACGAGGAGTATGGCAAATGAGCAAAGATTATTTTAAAATACTCAACTTTAGGAAGAAAATTAAAAAATTTCAATTACATGGGATCAAGGAAAGCTCGTTTTATACAATTTGTGAAAACCTATGTTAGAATCGTATTGTCGAATCATCCTATCATTTACATATAAATTTTCCTTTAAAACATCCGCTTTGGAAACTTAAGATGATAATTTTAAAAGACATTTATGCTTGACATTATATATGTAATGTAACGAAGGGTTATGCCATTGTACTGCAGTTCCAAAATGGAAATTTTTATTACAACAATGTGACCTTAATTTGAGCGAAAAACCATGTGAGCTTAAAAAGTTTGTTGAGCTGTATCTTCATGAAGATTTAATAATACTTGAGATTAATACTTGCATATATTTTCTTTCTTGTTCTCTTGAATTAGTTTTCAATGAAATAGCAGAAAAATAATGAGCAAATTATTTTCCATATTCCTTTTCATCTAGCACACAATGCCGTAGATATGTTTCTCCTCTCAGCATGTTTTGCATGGTAGTGAAGATCATACATACACAAGTAAAGAATGGTGTAAAGCATCAAGCGTCCGTAAAAAATATTGAAGCATTTTAAATTATTTTAACAATAGTCAAAAAATGCTTTGGGGGTTTTATGATTTTTTTTTTATTCCAAAGAGGAAAAGTGTAAAAAAAAAAAAAAAAAAAAAATTGTTAAAAAAGTAATATTTACAAATGAGTAAATCATATTGTGATATCAACACAAATGTTACAGCATATACGCCATAAATCATGTGCATGTATTTGAAAATCAGAGATTAAAGGATAGCATCGAAAGATAAATATAATAGTTTTATACTCAAATGTTTATTTACCTGTTAAATGTATCTGACAAAAAGGGCGTTAATTCTACAGATGTTCATTTCATCTACAGTTTTGTGACATGACGATGTTACAAACATGATGCCAATCTTCAATTTTAAACAATCGTAAACGCGGAATGAATTTTTTTTATTAAAAATGATCCCCAGAAGATTTTAGCTTTCAGTGTTGCACATAAATGAGAGGAATTTTAGCGACATTTTCAAGTGTTCACATTTATTTCAAAATATACATTTTCCAGCAATTGTATCGCTACATTTAAACTCTAAGTTTCATCGGAAAACTCAATAACCATCTCCCTTCCAATAAACAGAAATTTACACGCAAATATTACCTCTATTAGATGTAGATTCCTACAAGGCGATGGGGAAAGAAAATATTTTTACAAGGAGAAACATCTTTTTGCAATTTCATGTATATGATAATGATTGATTTTTTGACAGAAGAAAAAAGGCATAAGACAATATTGAATTTCATAATCCAACGGGAAGTTTTCAGGACTAACATATTTGATTATGTACCAAACAACTGTGCTCGCCTAAGCGCTGTCGCACTGTCAACATATTGCTTAAATTCAATACAACAGGAAATTTAAATTCAAAGTAATTCTGATCAATTTCGAATCAATATGCTTAGCGCTTTCCAGTACTTTCAGTACTTTGATTTAATACTGTTCCGGTGTGTTGTTAAGGAAGAAAGTTTATTGGTTAAGCTTGTCCAAAGCGTGTATAATATCACAAAAAAGTCAAATTTAGAAAATGAAGTAAAGACTCTATACTAACAGTATTCAATTTCAAAAGTCCATTTTAAAAACAATAAAAATTGATTGCTGCAGTACTTATTAATCAGGCGCGTAGCATCGTTTTTGAAAGTGGGGGGGGGGCCAACCTGAGAAAATTTTTTTTTACTTTTTTTTCCAGACCAACTATCTTTCTATTCAAACTTTTTGGGGTAAATTTTCTTTCTAACACTACCCTTTGCTGAAATGTGGGGGGCCAACCTTCCTTTCAGTAAACATTTTCTATAGTAAAGGTAATGTCGGCAGAAAAAGTGGGGGGGCCTGGCCCCCCCTGATACTACGCCCCTGTTAATAAGTTGTTGCATATTATGGATTTCATTTAAACAAGTGTTCAATCAAGAAAAGCCACTATTATAAATCAAGTAAAGCCACATGTTTTTTGTAAAACAGAGAACCCCCTTGCTTACGTTGTTTTACTGCATTCTTCAGTTCCAGGCGGAAAAGTCGTATTTTCATTGTGTAGTTTCTCCTAAAATTGAGATCCTCAATATACTGACGACTGCAACTAAAACAATCGGCAATAAATTAACAGTTCATTCACAATCTTGGACATCATATACGATAGATGATCCTGAAATACATGAAAAAAATCTAATAACATACCTATGAAGTGCGTACTATCAAAAAACATAAACGTCACACGCATGCATGTACTACATGTATGCAACTAAACTAATGCATTATAAATGCAAAAGGAAGAGACAATCAATACGGGAAGTAACACATGAATAACCTACTCAAAGCCAGACTAGTGTCACATTTCCTTTAAACAAAATTCCATTCGCTAAATAATCTTTTTTTAAATTTTTAATAGGTTTAAAATTTTCAGAATACTGGTATATAAATGAAAATTTGTGGAACCCAAACTGAAAAATGGCTGAACAAAGCACACGTGTTCCGTATTAGCCGAGTTATACGAGTCAATCAAACATAAATATGAGCCATTCATTCGTAAGATGATTTAATAAAGACCACAGTTACCATACACAACAAAGCGATCATTCTCAAATGATCTTTTTGTTCCAAAATCTCTAAGTGAAATCTAACAGAAATCCTTATTTTGGTGTGAACTGTAATTGATTGAAAATGAGAAAGAACCTCAGGGAATTTGGTTCTCTTGGGAAAACGTCGTTTTTTATGGGCGGCGGAAAGGGTAAAAAAGACGTTTATGCAAAACCAACAACTAATTTTATAAACATAATGAAATACAAAACAGACAACCTTAAAAACAAAATCAACAGACTCGTTTGCAAAATCAACAGACTCCGATGCGAAACCAACAATCACCAATGCAAAACCAACGATTATTCACTGAATTGTCGCTAGATGGCGCGCAAAAAACATATATTACCTGAATTAACGCTAGATGGCGCGCAAGTTTTTCTACGTCGTCATTATTTTTGTACAATCATAGGAACGTAAATGGATCAGGGCCACAATTATAGAGTGAAGGTCAAAAGCCTGAAAAGTAGCACATTTAAAGTAATATACGCCGTATGGATGCCGATTTGTGAAACAAAATGATTAAATGATTTGAAACACATAAAGTGTAATGAAAAAATAATATTTCCACAAAATTTAACTATAAAACTCGTTGTAATAACAGAACAATAAAGCAATATCTGCAATCAAGAATTCAGTCTTTTCATGAATATTGATAGAGGAAGTGCGTAAACAGTAGGTCTAAATATAGACACGTATGTCCACGGGAAATTATAGACAACGAGGCACGTTGCATTTTGACAACGATTATTAATAAAAGGTTAATATGCGTCATAACAGAGTATAGATGGTTGATACTGATTACATTTAAAGATAAGTTATATTAATAGTAACACGCCATCCATGTCAAAAGTGAGTTGTATCTCAAAGGGCTTACCTCGTTTTCTTGACGCCGTGTTTGTTTATCAATCTAAAAGTAGCGACGGCGTCACGTGGTGGATTTACTTAAAAATAGACATTATTCTCCTTGCAGGATAATAAATAATTATAATTTGATAACTTTATAACGAATTCTATTTAAATGGTGTAATTTACAGCATTTTCGTAACTTTTATTGGTAAACAAAATATATAAATTTCCAGCCGTATTTTAAAATGGCGCACGTTATAGCGTATATTACTTTAAAGGAAATTCGCATGCCTCCCTTTCAATGATAAAAATAAAAACATGCCCATGTTTGTGAAACTTTCTGGGTATATAATAAAAGTTTAATGTCAAAAGTTTACAATGATATGCATCAAGGTGCATTTCAAGCATAAATTATGCATAGAAATGGGTATTGAAATGAGAGGTCATTTGGTTTGTTTACACATTTTAAGCCAAGCGAGAACTATTCGGAGGTCATGACGTCAGAAGTTTATTAATAACCAAGGATTTCCACATTGAACACCCCCATTTTTATGTGAATATTTATCTGACACTCTGTCATGTGTTAAAAAATATTTTGGAAATGAACCTTTTTTAAAAAAGTTACAAAGAAAACAAAACACATGTTTTTACTATATAAGTCTATATATTTACATTTCCAATGTCTTTGTCCGAGATAAAATTACCAAATGTAAATGTACTTTATTTCCCCATCAATGTATTGGCGCGGTTCCAAAAAAACCACGTGCAGGCGGGACAAACAGCTAGACAGAAGCAGGGCTTTGAGCGCATGGATTGGCGGATTCAAAGCATATAAATATAAGGAATAACTGTCAGATTTTTCAATTTCATGAAGATGATCAATCGATTGGCTTGCGTGATAATTTTATGCATAAACGCCTTCGGCGTTTATGCAAATTATCACGCAAGCCAATCGATTGATCACTTCATGAAATCGAAAAATAAGACAGTTATTCCTTAAATATATGTACATGTAAGCTAATTGTAGTCCGGGTCCAAATCCCGCGAAATTGTCTATCAACATCCATTTTGCAAACCTCGGATAATAGCATCATGTCGAACTTTTAAAATTCAAACATATTAGAGGCAGCAAGACAAACGACTATTACAAGAAACCAGTAGCAGATATTGTTTTTTTCCCCCAAGAGAAATTTTTTGAAAGAAAAAAATCCCCTTACACTCTTAAAAAAGTTCATATAAAATTATTTAATTGTGTTCATGCATTACATAATTTGTTGATACATGAAAATTCACTTGGCAAGTTGTACTTTTATCATTTTTGCTTTTCTTTGTACGACTTATGGTGAAGTCTATCAAATTTATTTTAGAATAAGCTAACTTAGGAAGCAATCTGATTAAAATCAGATCCTTTGATCCACTCTCATTAATTGCTACTTGTTTAGCGATCTATGTGCGCGGATCAAAGGATCTGCGCACGTGAAAAAAATATATGGGCTGGATTGTTTTTATTGGGGTGGACCCACCCCGAAAAACAGGATCTGCGCCTGTACAGATATGAATTATATAGGACAGAAAAGATAAATGCTCTAAGGAACAGGATAATCACGGTTGGTACTTTTTGCGCAAGGGAGATGATGATATTTGGGGGGGGGGGTATCGATATCATTAACTCATGAAGTTTCCGTCAAAGTCTCACAAGATTTTGGTAACTTGTTAATTAATTAAACATGAATTAAAAATGTTTGATAATAAATCTGGAAAACATATACGAAAGGATAGTTTTAATTTTATTCAAAAGTTTTACTATGCGTTTCTTTTTCCTCTCAGTATAGTTGAAACCGTAAAAGAAATTCAGGGGCTGATCTAGCTGCAGATCTGTAGCTCTCCGAAAAAAAAATATTGATAGACCGGAGAGCTACAGAGCCACCCATTGAAAAAACTGTATATTTATTGCGCACAAAAAAATGCGCTCAGTTCTCGATTTATTTCTCCATGTTTTTAAAGCTGTAATCTCAAAATATTACTAACCGTGTGTTCCTAACATATTCTTTGACTCTTTCCACAACAGAACATTCCGCATAATTGTTGTTTATAGTCCTCCTGGCCCTGATATTGCAATCATCGAACATTTCGCTTATTTATACTGCCATTTTGGTTTCAAAGATAATTCGGTCCAATATGCTTCGTTCAGATGTCAACTACGAGAGAACTTGATAGAGGAGAGAGGAATTTTTTGAAATCTTCCATTTTTTGCAATTGAGGTAAGGATTTGGAAGAATTAATCAAGAATCGAGTGCACTTTTTTGTGCGCAATAAATATACAGTTTTTTCAATGGGTGGCACTGTAGCTCTCCGGTCTATCAATAATTTTTTTTCGGAGAGCTACAGATCTGCAGCTAGGGCGGATCCAGCAATTTTCGAAAGATCGATGCCCCAGCACTCATGCATAGAATCACAACAGGACCACTTGAAGTCGGTAACTACATATATTTATAAGAAAGGGGGCACCAAAACAGTTGACAAGCAAAAAAAAAAAAACAAAAAACAAAAAACAAAAAAAAAAAAAACAAAAAACACCACACTCTAAGTCCTTCTTTGGGGGTAGAGGGGGCTTTCTGTAACTTTTCTCTTCGGACTGCATTATATACTTTCATGTAATGCTTGAATCTGCGTATTTTCCGGCAATAAAAACTGTGGAGGGAGCTTCCAAATCAAAATATTAATTAAAACTACAGCAAAAGATTACTCTCAGAAAAAATAAGTCCCCTCAATCTGCATTTTTTTTTGGCATGTTACTTGTGAGTGGTCGGAACTCTTAGCCGGGGTTGGGAAGGTACACGGAGGAAGGTACGCGAAAATCTACAGATCTACAGAGCAGAGCGGACAAAGATTTTCCATTTTTTCAAAATATTAGACTTATTCTATATTTATACAGAAATTTTTCTCTCTATGTACAAAAATAAAAGGGGGTTCCAACCACCGGAACCCCCCCCCCCCCCATCTGGGTCCTTCAATGAAATTTACACTATAAGGCTACAAGGATGAGACTTAATTGTACTCCTGTACAAGATGTGGTGGCATCTTTGCCATGGTATGCGCAGTAGACCTTGTCCCATGTGCATTTTGCCTAATTTCTCCGAGTCCGAAAACAGTATCGCCCAAACCTGGAGTAATCGCTGTCCTACATTCCGTCACTTTATTTTTAAGCCCCCCCCCCCCCCCCGAAAAAAAAACCAAACACATGGATACACACATCTTGCCTTTATTTTTTTTTCTTTATAAAATTTTTAAAGTACTCAAGCCATTCCCTTAAATATACACAGGGTCAATCTAATAGATAAAAATGGGTATAAAATGTACTATATACCGGTAGTATATGATCCCTTATTATATATAAATAATTTCGATACCGATAATATATTCTTTAATACATTCCGAGGTTTACCAATTGGATCCTGATATAATTTCGCGTGATTTACGTTCCTATGATAGTACAAAAATAATGACGACGTAGAAAAACTTGCGCGCCATCTAGCGTTAATTCAGGTAATATATGTTTTTTGCGCGCCATCTAGCGACAATTCAGTGAATAATCGTTGGTTTTGCATTGGTGATTGTTGGTTTCGCATCGGAGTCTGTTGATTTTGCAAACGAGTCTGTTGATTTTGTTTTTAAGGTTGTCTGTTTTGTATTTCATTATGTTTATAAAATTAGTTGTTA